AGCAGGGGGTGAAACGGCATCACCACAAGCACAATCTGAAGCATCGCTACGAGCTGCAGGAGACCTTGGGCAAAGGCACCTATGGCAAAGTCAAGCGGGCCATCGAGAGGTTCTCTGGCAGAGTGGTAAGGCAGGCGGAGCGGCTTCTCTCTGCCCCTTTCTCTTATATATACAGGTATATGTAAGATCAGATTCCGGCGCCGGTTTGGGACCGGGGCCGGTTGGGTGCATCCCCTGCGGAGCCCCGTCCTGTGCGGGGCAGGCGGGCTGTGGCCAGGCGGGGACCCGCTCAGCATCCCAGCCGTGCCGGCGGCCCGGGGCTTTGTTCAGAGGGCAGCCCTGCAGAGAGACTTTCGTCTGGGAGGAGTGGTGGAGGTACTGTAGTACCGCATTTTGAAGGGATGTGTTATTACTGGAAAGGTAGGGTGGCTTACTGTTTTTCTTCTGTGTTTTTTTACATGCGAGTCCACTGGGAATAGTTTTTTTCCCCCAGTGGAAATTCATGTTTTGGAGAAACCTGTCACATCCCCTGGCTAACTGCTCACAAAGTACTGTCAGAAGGTTTGCTTCTCTGGTTTAAAATGCCGTGATTCGGTCATACTTTTGTGACCTGAACTTTGCTGACACCTAAAAAAATTGCAGGGACTGCAACCCACCCCATTGGTTTTTACGATGCGTTTCACCGCTCAGCGGTGCCGGCTGGCTGGAGACTTCAAGCAGTCCGGGGGTTGTCCAGCAATAACTCAGCTTCAGCATTTCCTCACTGCTGCAGCGCTCCAGCCGGGCGCAGAAATGCAACTGAAGCAATGTACACATTAGTCAGAATTATTGTCATTTTTCCTTCCCAGAAATACGTAACTATCCACAGAGGGCAGGCGAATGAGAGGCAGGCGTTGTTGTGTTAAAGAAATAGGTGGTTTTCTGCAGAGGTCTTTGTCCTGAAGTACACTAATTGAGTTTTCACTAGATTTCATCTGAAGGCAAGGCATTTCCCTGGTGACGTTACATTTGTCTTTCCCTTTCGGTTGCTGGGGAGCTCAACACGCACCCAGAGGCAGAAGGATCTGTAAAACAGAAAATGAAATTTCAGATGCTATGACTTTAATAAGGAACACTTACTTTGCAACTGAATATCTTTGTGTCGACTGTGAAAATGAGAGTTCCAGCCAAGTTGTAGAGTCATATCATATATGCTTTCAGTTTATTAGCTCATTTGGAGGCTGGCTAAAGAGAAACCAGAGATGGACATCTCTGCACATGCTCACTCTAAGTCCATGATTTTTAAAGTTTGCTGTCTTGGCTGTTTTACAACTTAAGTCTAACAAAAGCTTCAGGGCTATATTATATGCTAACTCTTCTTTTAAAAGTAGATTAGTTTTGAGTTGCATTATAAAATGTAGTGAATGAGCAAGTAAGTTGAAAACATCTATTTTCAAGGAGTTGAGAAATTAACAAAAAAAGGTGACAGTAATGTACCATGAGATTTGGCTTTGGAAAGAGGCCTCACAGAGAATAGGATGTAGGGTAGATGTGTGTTTCATGTAACTCAACAACACACTAGGTCCTTCCATATTTTGCTAACTGTTAAGCTCTTCAGCTGCATAGCTAAAGGATACTTTGATGTTATAGTCTGAAATGAATTTATATGGATAATGCCATCTTGAAATGGAGAGTGTGAAAATCAGATTACCTATGCAATCTCAAATGCAACAAAAATGTAACATTCGCTGTATCAGCTGGCATGTAGAAGCTGAACAAGTCCTTACCAGGGTGTGAGTTTTTTACCAGAGTAATGCAAGCCTTGGCGTGTGGCACTTTGTAATTATTAACTAGTCTGCAGGCGAGTTCTGGTGTAACGTGTCTATTTGAACTGCAACATCTGTGAGTGTATGTAAAATATCCACACTTTGTCTGCTTGTAGAAGAAAAGCTAGTTGTCAGGATTCCAGCCAGATCTCAGTGAATGGAAAACGCTTCTTGTTTTCTCACAGTTCCCTTGTCTGGCTGTTACAGTGAACAGAGATTCCTTTCCATGGGTGAGATAAAAGAACTGACGGGATGACTCATCAGACAGGGGCAGTTTTTCTTTGTTTTTACCACCTCTCTTTCTCTTCTCTTCCCTTTCTCAACTCTTATTAGTGGCAATATTTGCATCATCCATGAGCAGGTTGGACCAGATGCTGCTGTGTCCAGCAGGGGATGCACAGAGCAGGGGATGTGGCCGGCACTGTCTGTTGTTGCACCACGTCCAATGCCAATCCTATTGCAGCCAGCAGCGAGAGTCCTAAGGGTGCTCTTGTCCAGGCTGTTTGCTTCCAGTTCTGCTATCAGTTTAGCTGATCATCTCTTTCTTTACTCAGTGGTAAGCAGGTATTTGAAGCTGTATGGTAACAGATTGCAAAGCTGGACCTTGTGTTCCCATGTATCAGTCTTGTTCAAGCAATTCTCCTGTTTGGCCTTTCCACTTCTCTTGTCTGTCAAGAATTTATTTAGCTATATGGCATTTAGTAAAGAGGTTTGTGTGATTAGCCAGGCTTTTAATGTGAAGCACAAACTTTGGATTTGTCGTCATCTATATAAACAGAGCTCAGAAATGAAATAAAGTGGCAGGTTTTGGTAAATAAAGTAAAACCAAGGTGAGAAGACAGTTCAACGTGAAGTACAGATGTGCTTTAATCCTGTGCCATTGGAAATCAATAGCAGGATTTCTGCTGACTTGAATGAAAGTAGTATTTGGCACATGTAAGCAGGTTACAGGTTTATTCAAATTGTTATTCCTCTTAACTTTATTGTCTTTCCTTATAACACAGTGGAACGTGATCATAAAGTTTCCTGCCATAAAGCTCCAGGGTAGATTGTATGATACATTTGGTTTGTTATTGGAAACAACTTAGGTGAATTTGTGCGTTAGTTACCACAGTGACTACAGACAGTATTGCATTCTGCATGGAGCAGTTAAAATATTGCCCAGTATATGATGTATGAGG